TACAATTAATATTAGAACATTTTCATCACTCCTTTAGAAAACCCCATATCCACAATCACTGTTTTAACTTATATATGTGGATTATAAAAGAGCCCTTGATACCACTACCATAAACAGAAATTCAGGATCGCTTGCCATAAATGGAAGATACACATAAAAGTAAACCCAATGGGAACAAAACAGTCTTGTGGAATTCTGGCTCTATACCATTGCCCGCTGCACGCTGGGCTTGCTGTCTCGGTAAAAAGAAGAACAGGTGTTAGGTGTTAAAGATACAGCTGTCCCAAACCAAGACTTTCTCCTTAAAGAAATCTAAGAGATTGAAAAAGAAGTAATTCCTAAGAGGTTTCCCCTCAGCGTCTCACAGTTTGGGGAGCTGTGGGTGGGGGACCCCGCAAGAGCCGAGGCAAGGGTCTGAAGCCTCAGCCTGTTCCCATATAAATACAGAACTAGAAAAGAATGAGAGATATAGTTACATAGTTCTTCTTACACATAATCATAAATAATCACATAGCTATTCATATGTAATCACAGATATATATATAATAAAATCTTTAATTTTACTAATAAGTCTCAGGTTATGAAGTATGGGACTGAAGTGGCATTGGGGAAGAGGTGACCCTAAGGCAAGATGCTCTAAGTCATCTGTCACACCCGCATAAGGACTGCTGGAGGACGCCTTGGTTGTGTGGCAGTGTCAGCGCTGTGAAAGCGCCTGCTGTTTAGCCAGCTAGGGAAGGAAATGTCCAAGATGGCCGAGACGTCTCCTTCCTCTGGGGAGTGAGGAGAAAACTCCACTCTTCCAAGTGGAGTAAGCCTGACGGCTGTCAGGGAGACCCACAGACATCCGGGGACTTAATTGTCTCTATGTGGTGCTGTGCTTCAGCGGTCACGTTCCATGTCTACTTTCAAGTTCTGCTTCTGCACCTGGTTCCTCTTTTTCTTAGAAGATAAGAATTAGTAATAGTAACATAAATCTTAGTGACCTTGTTCTTACTTGACAAGGATGAGAAAAGTGCTGACGCCTTAGGTTTTCTCCTTGCCTTGGCTTCTTCAAAGTCTTGGGCCCCTGTCTCCAAGGTATGTGATTTACTTGACCCTATCACTGGCCACCATTACCTCATCCTACCTACCATGCCCCCTGCTTTGTACTCAATAAAAGTCAGGGCATCTAGACGCTCGGGCCACTGCTGGTCTCTGTGATTTGGTAGCAGTGGACCCCTGGGCCCAAACTCTGTTTTCTCGTCTCTGTGTCTTGGGTCTTTTATTTCCACAGTTTCTCATCTCCACACCTGCAGAGAGGGACTCTTGGGACCCTGCAGGGCTGGACCCTACAGGGAGCACCAAGGTGGGGTTTTCATCTCCATAGTCTCTTCTGAGCCTCACTATAACTCTGTGAGGGAGGGATTATCATTCCCATTTTACAGATGAGAAAACTGAGGCTTGGGGGAGTCAGCTGTTTTACCAGCATTCTGCAGTAAGTGGTTGAGGAAGTTCTTAGTCCCAGGTGCTCTTTTTACTCCCTGAGAGCTGCTGCCCCCTACTCCTGTCCTAGACAGGGTACAAACAGCCTATCCCTCCCCAGGCGTAGGGATACTGTGGCAGTTTTCACTAGGGAATGAAAGGATCTGTTTATGGGGACTCAAGGCCCTGAGCCTTCTGGTTTATTTGCCTCAAGGCCATTGAACTGACATCTCTAAGCTACAGTATCCTGAGGCCAGATGTTGGCCATAACAGTGTCCTTTTGTCTCATGGTAGAAACCTCCAGTGCTAGAGCTGGCCAGGAACAATACCATCATCGGGTCCAGCGTCCCCTAAACTTTATCCAGACTCATGAAGTCCCTGTACATTGTGAGGGGCTTCATAATTGTGTGACTCCTCCAGAAACATTTCCAATGACTCTGCGTTTTGCATGGCCTAGGCGAAAAAAAGATGCTAAGTAAAAAGAAAAAAAAATTGAGTTTAAGTCATTGTTTTTAATACAGTACCATAAAGCTAGGGTTTAATACATGTGAAAGTTTTCTATAGTCTATGTTCAGGTATTACAGCAAGACATATGTCCACATTTTCCTATTTGACAAGTGATGCGATCTAGTTCATTTTCTGCAAAGAAACTTTGTAGGAGAAGGAAGAAATAAGAAAGGATGCTAGTGGTGGAGAGACCATGACAGTTCCTCGGGTCCAGCTGCTAATCGAAGGATGAGCTGGCCCCTGGTACCCTGTGGGGGGGGGTTCAGGGTGAAGGCCACAGTACCACCTCTGGAGTATTCTCCCCACTTATGCTTACCCTGCATGGAACCAAGCTTTGAGGGTCTTCTAGGTGTGACTGGCAGGCTACAGGAAAGAGGGAGGGTGGAGGAGCAAGGGAAAGACACCAAGAAGAAACCATCAATGTTCTGCAAGACAACTGGTCTCAAAAGTCTATGTCACGAGAAAGGTGAGAGGGCTTTTCTAGATGAAAAGAAAATAAAGTGATGGAACAATCAAATCTACTGTGGGAAACATGGCTAGATCCAGGTTAAAATAATCACGATAAAGACATTTTTGGCCCAGTGGGGGGACATTTGAATATGGACAGGGTATTAGGATTATAGAATTATTCTTAATTTTCCTAGTGTGATAATAGTATTGTGATTGCATAGGAGCATGTACTTATTCTTAGGACATAGTGCAGGTAGAAAAATTTAGAGAGGGAAGGTCATGATGTCTGCAACTTTCAGACAGTTCAACGAAAAAGTATATATACAAATGTGTATGTATATCTATGCATACCATATACCTGCTAAATATACACACATGCATACATACATATGTAAAGAGACAGATACATGTGGAGAAGGAGGGGAAGCAAATATGCAAAATGTTAACACTCTAATCTCAGTGGAGCTATAAGAGTGTCAATTGTACTATTAACTTTTCTGTATGTTTGAATGTTTTCATAATGAGTAAAAATGGTATTAGACTTAGTTTAGAGCGGAATCCATTTCAAAATCAGCTGTGTGGCGGCTCACACTTGTAATTTCAGCACTTTGGGAGGCCGAGGCAAGAGGATTGCTTGAGACCAGGAGTTTGAGGGACCAGCCTCGGCAATGTGTCGAGAGCTCTGTCGAAAAGTAAAAAAAATTAGCTGGCTGTGGTGACGCAGACCTGTAGTCCCAGCTACGCAGGAGGCCGAGACGGGAGGATTGCCTGGGCCCAGGAGTTCAAGCCGGCAGCGGCATATGACTGTGCCTCTGCACTCCAGCCTGGGTGACAGAGCAAAACCCTGTCTCAAAAAATTGAAAAAAAATAAAAAATAAAAAATAAAAAAAAAAGACTAAAATTTAACCACAGCACTAACTATAGCCAGAGATTGCTCTCTGTTTCTAGCCTGGTGTTAGAAGTTCTGCATACCATGTAGAAAACACCAGTCGTTCTAGAGGTCTCGGTATTGGTGAGCCTCAGGGACTGGGCTGTGGCCATGCTCCCCCGGGACCTACTAACTCTGCCCCAGCTTCCACCAGCCGGGCTTCCACCACGCACCTGCGGAGGCAGGGCTCTTTCAAAGGGAATATTGGCAAGTCTTCCATTTACTGACTTTAAAAAATATATAAGTCTAGGCTGGGCACGGCGGCTCACGCCTGTAATCTCAGCTACTCAGGATAGGTAGGCAGGCCAAGGTGGACAGATCACGAGGTCAGGAGTTCGAAACCAGCCTGACCAACATGGTGAAACCCTGTCTCTACTAAAAATACAAAAATTAGCTGCGCGTGGTGGCAGGTGCCTGTAGTCCCAGCTACTTGGGAGGCTGAGGCAGGAGAATTGTTTGAACCTGGGAGGCAGAGGTTGCCGTGAGCTGAGATCGCACTACTCCAGCCTGGGCAACAGAGAGAGACTCTGACTCAAAAAAAAGTCGAACCAGAAGCCATTTCTTCCTTTATCAATGCAAACCACCAGTCTAGCACAACTGCCTGTTTTACAAACGGAGAAACTGGGACCTAGTGAGGGGAGGGGACTAAGAGCCTCACAATAAGTGACTGGCAGAGCTAACGTTGGCACCCAGGTCTTCAGACATCCAAGCTGAGGTTTTCTCCATCACTCCCTTTCATCTTTTGAAAGATTGGGTTTGTCCTAAACCTTTGCATGGCTCTCTCTGCCACTCTCTCAGAGCCTAATGACTCACACTTTACAATCTATTTTAAAGCCAGCTGGAATCTATAGAAGATTAGAGGCAGCAAGTGAAGAGAAGAGGTGCTACGGCCGAGCTAGTGACCACAGCCAGAAAAGCCTAGAAGGAGCTGGAAAAGCAGGAGAATTCAATGAACCTCAAACCCCGGGGACATTCTGTGCAAGGGCAAATGATACTGGCAGCATCCCTCCACACAGGGATTTTATAAGACAGTGGAGCGCAGACTACGATCTCAGACAGCTTAAAAACCTGGGCTGGGAGCGGTGGCTCATGCCTGTAGTCCCAACACTTTGGGAGGCCAAGGCGGGTGGACCACCTGAGGTCAGGAGTTTGAGACCAGCCTGACCAATATGGTGAAACCCCGTCTCTACTAAAAATATAAAAATTAGCCGGGTGTGGTGGTGCCTGTAGTCTCAGCTAGTCGGGAGGCTGAGACAGGAGAATTGCTTGAACCTGGGATGCAGAGGTTGCAGTGAGCCCAGGTCGCGCCATTGCACTCCAGCCGGGGCAATAAGCAAGACCCTGTCTCAAAAAAACAAAATGAAACAACTCGGGCTACCACATGTGTCGAGCGCTCAACTGTGTAAGAAATGGCTTATCCAAGAGGACAGGGTTCCCAGGAGCTGTGAGGGCTGACTTTGCTGTGTAGACCATCAAGCTAGCCTTTTGTGTGTTCAAGTCTCATCTTCCCAGTGAAAGCGCAACTTCAGGAGAGCAGGGCATGTGCCCTAACCATGTTTGAGCATCGTCAGGCGGTGGCTCTTCAATTTGCAGTCTGGATCCAGGTCTGAGCTCCGTCATTGAATATCCATGTGCCTTGGGCAACTTGATTAACTTCTCTGAGCCTGCATGAAATGGAGATAGTAACAGCAGTTAGGTCACAGATTGATTGATGGGAGGATTAAGTGACACTGAGATTAAATGACATTTATTTGGGTCAGAGTCAATGGCCCAGGAAAGCTTTAAAGAGTGAGCTCTGCGAATACCTAGTGGAAGAGAGCCCAGGTGGAGGGAGGGCAAGGTGATGACTCAGAGGCAGGGCTATCCCTGGTGGCATCTGTGGAACCTCAAGGAAGCCGTGGTGGCTGGGGAAGAGCTAGCAGGAGGAAGGGAAGCAGTGGGTGAGGCCACAGGTTGGAGGGCGGAGTCGCGTTTTATTGCACGTGTTTGTTATTTTTGGGGTTCGCTTCTATTTATGGAAAGATACTGATTTCCCATGTCTTGCTGCTACAAAGTACCCCTTTAAAATAATATAGAAAAAGGAATCAGTGTGGAAGCAGAAAACACTGCAGCCCACAAACAAGCACAACTCATGAACACTATCCTTAGATGACTGAAATTTGCAAAATGAGGAAGGCAGGTCCCTCTCTCTTACATTATTTACTTAGCACAGGTAGGTTTGGAATTTCAACGCTGAAGTTTCACTGGCAACCTCGAAGTCACATCTAGAACCTTGAATTCTACTCTTGATCTCAGAGCTTTCCAGCTGGGAGACTCCTGGATCATGTCATCCTCCCACTCCCGCTTTACAGATGGAGAAACTGAGGCCGAGGGAGGCAAACAGATTCATTCAGGGGGTCTGGTTCAGAGGGAAGAACTGTACACAGTTTCTATGGGACTCAACTCCCCAGCTGCCCTCCGCCAAATCCAAGGATTCAGACACACAGGCTCCCCCAGAGACCTTTTAGTAGGTCGAGGCAAGGGAAGCCTCTGGCTGTGTCACTCTGGAGACTTTCCCTCCGCGCTCCCCTTTATATCCTCCTGTGCACCCACCATGGATCAGAGAAGGCAGGCAAGGGAGGGCAGAAGGCATGGGGTCACCTGGGGGCTGCTGGCCCAGGAGTTTGCTCTGGAGGGTGGTGGGTCCTGGTTGCATCCAGGTTCAGCCAAGGCAGCTCCGGTCAACCAAGTCAGGTGTTGAGATGTTCCCAGGGGGCCCTGGGAGTTCCTCTAGTCCTGAGGGGACAGGACCATCGTTGCCTCGGCTGCCACTCCCAGGCCAGGCAGCTCTGGGTGCAGCACTGTCAGCCCCTTTCCGGTCACAGCTTCTTCAGGAACTGGTTCCTATCCATGCCAGGGAGAAGGGGCCACAGTGGGTTCTGAAGGGGCCACCTCTTTACCTCTGATGTTGCTTGTGTTGGGCGGGCGTGACCTTGAACCACAGTCTGGTAGGATGGTGGGGGCCCCACTGGCAGGCCTTTGAGATGCAGTGGTGGGTTCGGAACAAGGCATGCGTCATCATCGTTCTGCAAAAGAAAGCCCACCGCCCCTGCTGCTCACATCTGTGGAGCAACTGGCTGTTTCCGAAGCACTTCCCTACTAGTTCACTTCTGAAGACCCAAGTTCTCCGTGACTATGGGGAAACTGAGGTGAGGCTTAAGAAATGAAGTGATTTCCATAGACCAGTGTGTGACTCCCTCCACCCTCCCTGTTCTTGGAAAGAGACTAGGGGGAGGTCCACGTGGGACTCAGTAGATGGGGTCCTGGTTCCCATCCTGCTACCAGTGTCCTGGTGACCAGGGGCAAGTCGCTCATCCCGTTGGGTTTCCTGGGGGGCAGGTTTGGGCCAGGTAATGCCCCAAGACTCTTCTAGCCAGGATTGGCACTGTTGGCATTAGACCTGCACCTTCAAGACACTCTAGAGGCAGGTCTAATGCCAACAGTGTCCCCCGGTGATTGCTACCACACCTCCATTCCTGATTATGATGAGGGTGGGACCAACTCAGTGCTGCGGAGCCCGTCCCTGGCATCGTCCTTTCTGATGGGAGGGCACAGGGCCCACTGGGAGACCTAGCACAGCCGCTTACTGGCCGTGAGACCGTGGGAAGTCACTTAACTCTTCTAGGCCTTGTTTTTTCCTCTTTAAATGGAAAAGCAGAGCCTGCCTCCCAGAATGGCTGTGAGATTCAAAGAGGTCTCAGCTAGTGCACTAGGCAGAAGCCCGGCCCCCAAAAGACTTCCATGTGCTAATCTCTGGTCACATGGCAGAGAGGAATAAAGGTTGAAGATGGAATTAAGATTTCCAATCAGCCTTGAGATGGGGAGATTCTCCTGGATTATCTGTCTGGGCCCAGTATGATGACAAGGCTCTTTAAAGGTAGAAGAGGGAGACTGGGCTATTGGAAGATGTTGTGATGCTGGCTTTGAAGGTGGAAGAAGGGGCTACAAGCCAAGGAATGCAGGCAGCCTCTAGAAGCTGGGAAAGGCAAGGAAAGAGATGCTTTTCAATACCCTCTGAAGGGATGCCGCCCTGGCAACACAGCTTGATTTGAGCCCTTGAGACTCACTTCAAACTGCCAACCTCCAGAACTATAGAATAATACAGGTGTCATTTTAAGCCGCCAAATTTGTGATAATTTATTACAATAGCAATAGAAAATGAATTCAGCCACTTGCAGCACTAGCACAGTGCCTGGAACACAGCAAAGGTCAATAAATAGGGTGGGCAACCCCCCATATAGGCTCCGAGGAAGGAGAGCTAAGCAGAATCCTGGCACAATTAAGATATGAAGAATATCTCAGTTTATAGTATTACTACTCAGTTATTTCCTTTTATATAATCCTCTCTACATAATCATATATTAGTTCATAGAATTAGTGCCTAAAGAATATCTTACCACTCAGTTATTTCCATATAAACTATATCTTAGTTCATAATAGGAGGAATGCCTGGAGTAGACACGGTACAGAGCATGAATTAAGGAAAAGCAGCTTATAGTCAGAGGAATGTCTGGAGCAGACACAGTGCAGAGCATGGTTAAGGGAAAAACAGCTATACCAGGACAAGAATCCATAGCCCAGGCGGCAGCGTTTAGTGTCTTAAAGATAGCCGCTGTATGACAGGCTCGGGGCAAGAGCGCTCCTCCTGATAAAGGAGTTGTAGGACCTTGCTCCAGTTCTTGCAGAGGGCTGCCTTCAGACTGGCAATCCCTCGAGCATCTGAGGGCTCATAACCCCTCCGGATAATCGCACCTTCGTGACTGTGAACTTTATCAGCTCTAGTTACTGTGCTGCTTGAAAAGCATCTTCCTATAGAACTCTTCGGAAGCTGCCAGCAGGTGGCAGAGACCCTGACAGCTCTGTCACTGCTGTGTGACTTAAAGCATCCTCCTGTAAATCTTCTTAGTAGCTTGCCCACAGATAGAGGTATTGCACACTGCACCCTCTTCACTGCGCACTGCCCACCTCCATGCCTCGGTGACCTAATGGTGGTGGACCCCTTACTGCACACGGCCCTTGCCTCAATGACCTAATGGGAATGGACTCCGTGCTGCCCAGTGTCCACCTCCCAGCCTAGGTGACTTAATAGGGGTGGACCCCTTGTTTTATTGCTCACGACCCTATCACTGTCCTTAAAGATGACTTCACTCACTGCCCTGCCCCCAACCTATACACAATAAATACTGACGCTTCTGGACATTTGGGGCCTTGCCTGACTCCGCTTATAGGTTGCGTGGCCCCCCGAGCCCAGCTGCATTTTCCTTGTACTTCTGTGTCCTGTCTCTTTATTTCTCAGATCCTGCACCTCAGCACAGCATAAGGGACACCCCACGACCCTGTGGGGCCCTCAGCCCTACAAAATAGGAACAATGATTGCTCATACCTGAAGCTAGGTATGGGGCCTCAGTTTCCCCCATCCTTAAAAGTGGGGTTGGCCTCAGTGACTCAAGGCCCCCATCTGGTTCTCTGATGTCTTAATGAGAAGACTTCCTACCAGGCAGCCAGGCATGAACTAAGACAACTTCTCTGCTTGATGTTCAATGAAACTCAGAGGCTATCAACTTACATACGCGTTAAGTGAACTCTCGGTGTGTGATGAAGTCACTAACATGAAAATTGGTGCCAAACTTGCAGAATTATGGGGGATTTGGCACTGTTTTTTTTTGAGACGGAGTTTGGCTCTTGTTGCCCAGGCTGGAGTGTAATTGTGCAACCTCAGCTCACCAAGCCTCTGCCCCCAGATTCAAGGGATTCTCCTGCCTCAGGCTCCCAAGTAGCTGGGATTACAGGCATGCACCACCACACCCAGCTAATTTTGTATTTTGAGTAGAAACAGGGTTTCTCTATGTTAGTCAAGCTGGTCTTGAACTCCAGACCTCAGGCAATCCGCCTGCCTCTGATTCTCAAAGTGCTGGGATTAGAGGCATGAGCCACTGTGCCCGCTGACACATTTTTTTTTTTTTTTACAGTGTTCTAAAGTTAAAATTGTAATATGAATTTTTTTTTCTTTAAAGAAATGAGCCTTGGAAATCATTTCTGGTCAGGTTCTTTATTTTTTATTCATTAATTTTTAAAATAAAACATCCTTATCCTGAACTGCTCAGGATCTTCATGGTAGGGAGAGACTTGCCCTTCTATTTTAAAATATATCTAGCCCAGTCTGCCGTTCTGCCAACCCCACGGGTAGACAAGGGCGAGGCTGTGGGTTAGATGTAGCTCAGGCTGAGTTCTGGATCGTCTTACTAGCTGCTTTGCCTTAGGAAGTGATGTGACCTCTCGGAACCTCAGCTTACTAGTCTGTAGTATGGGAATTTAAGTACCTCAATGGGTTTTTGAGGGCTGGGCCCGGTGGCTCATGCCTGTAATCCCAGCATTTTGGGAGGCCAAGGCCGGCAGATCACTTGAGGTCAAGAGTTTGAGATCAGCCTGACCAACAGGGCAAAACCTCATCTCTACTTAAAAAAATACAAAAATTAGCCAGGCATGGTGGCACGTGCCTGTAGTCCCAGTTACTTGGGAGGCTGAGGTGGGAGAATTGCTTGAACTAAGGAGGTGGAGATTGCAGTGAGCAGAGATCATGCCACTGTACTCTAGCCTGGGTGACAGAGTGAGACTCAGTTTTAAAAAAAGGATTGTTGAGAAGATAAAGTTATATTTATCTATATATCTGTGTATCTATATCCATCCATCCATCATCCATCCATCCATCCATCCAACCATCCATCCATCCACCCATCCATCCATCCACCCATTCCGTCCATCCACCCATTCCATCCATCCACCCATCCATCCATCCACCCATTCCGTCCATCCACCCATTCCATCCATCCACCCACCCATCTACCCGCCCATCCATCCATCGATCCACCCATCTGTCCATCCACCCATTCTGTCCATCCACCCACCCATCCATCCACCCAT